ATAATGAAAAAGAATAAATAAACTTCTGAAACTTCAATAAGCGTAAAATTATGAACCCATTTATTAATCACAAACCAGCACACCAATACACATGGGAGAATAGAGGTTCAAGATCAATAATAGACTATATAATATAGATAATTAGATAACATAGATAATAGACTAATTGCAGATGAAAAATCAATGCAAGATATTAAAGACACTCAAGTATATAGAAGAAAGACACTAGAGAATATAGAGGAAGAGAAATAGATAGTGATCCTTACCTAGTTGTAAGCAAAATGTAATATCAAACCTACAACAAAATAAACAAGGAGTAAAACTGAATACTATGATCAGAAAAAAACAATTTAAAAGTCCTTTTGCTGGAAGAGGAAAGTGAGAACCTTCCACCGGACAAGATTGATCAACAAGAAACTGGGACTGACTGCAAGAGACAGATTCAACAGACATCTAATACAAGAGGAGGGTGGGTGAGAGGTTCACTGCAAACGATTATCGTATGATTCAGAGCCAGAGTATACAAACAATGAGGTAGAAATAATAGCAAAAGAGGATGAAATAGCATGATGAAAAGCAAGGTCACAGAAATAGATGGGATAAAAGGCCTGTGACAATGTGAATAGGCAGAAGTTATGGGAAATTCTGCAAGAAGCAACTACCAGAATATTTAATTAAAAATATACAGAGCCTGTACCAAGATTCCAAAATAGTTATTAAAAATGACCAAGGCACAACACAGCAGATAAGATCAACAACTTTCTAAGCCAAGGATGCACACTGTCACCACTACTCGTTAACATTTACTTAAAACACACGACAAAAATTGGAAACAGAAAACTTAAGCAGACACAAAGATAACAAACAACTGGAAATTAGTGACAATATTATTTGCAGATGACCAAGTTATAATCACAGGCTCAGAAAAAACACTACATAAAGCAGCCTTCGAGTTAAGCAAAGAATATAAAATTAAAATATAATACCAGAAAACTAAAACACTAGTCTTTTACGGTAAAGAACATCTTAGAGCCAATAGTAATAGAAAATTCAATAATTGAACAAATTACCACTTTTAAAATCTCATAAATTCAATTGCATTGAACCAGAAGGATATAGACGAAAAAATATGTAAATATAATGGAAACAATTGAATAATAAAGAGACATTTTGGACATATGAGAAAAGAAACAATAATCAGAATCCATAATATTACATCAAAACCAATGTGAAATGTGGATAATGGACATAAAGGAAACCAGAAATATAGAAGTAGCTCAGATGAAATTGCTAAGGGCAGTTTTAGGAGTAATAAGAAGGGGCAAATTTCAAAATGAAACAATTAGAAAAGAACTGAAAACAACAAGACCGACAAGAAAATGACCCCATCAGGAATATTTTACCACATGAAGGAATACTGCTTTACTACCCACTAACAGGACAGGAGCACAACTAATCCGAGGGTGTGGATAATAATAACTTTCAAACATATACATAATACGTACATACTGCATTCAATCACATATACTTATACATTGTAGAGTAACAATGTACTCATTCATGAGAATTTGTTTCAAAAGTAGCCAACTTTTCTCGAAATGTTGGGGAAGATAATATTTACAATATTTCTCAATAAAAACAATGGTTTATTTTTCTTTCCTGTAATATTTTTATAGAAGATATTGTTTTTTATCAAAAACATCATATTTCCTCAATATTTGGTGTCCTAATGGTTTCATTAAAATGAGACTTTCGGAAAACCTTTTCTCATGGAATGTTTTTTGGAGGAATTTGGAGCTAACTTGGAGATAATTTGGAGAAATATAATTTCAGCATGTTTGAGATTGCACCATATTTAGTTTATGTGCACTAAAATATATTTTTGAGATTTCAAGAAACTTTATAATAGATCAAACAAAGCATTTGTGTCCATAAAAAAAAGTGCATTAAATTATAAAATACATGTGTAATATAATTATTAACATGTGAGATATTTCAATAAAGTTATAAATGTGTGTAATTTTTTTCAAAATTTTAAATTAAAATTATGCTTATATCATGTGTAGATCTCGGAACTTTGGCAAACTGCCTTTTTTAATTTTTACAATTTTTTGATTTTTAACAATAGGAATCAATAATATTTCTAGAATTGATTTAACAGATTTTTATTTTGCCTTTTTTGCCTATTTTAGTGTATTTTAGCTTACGATGCTTATTTTTGGAATTTTGCCTTTTTTTCCGTTTTTTATCATAATTTTTACTGTTTTCTTCCAACACTGATCATACTAGAACCATACATCCAAGCCCGGAAAATACGAAGGCACATTTGTTTTTCTTTTTTTCTGTGGAATATGAGGCTGCAGAGACAGCTAGAGTTAAAAAACTAAATGAAAAAAAAAATTGGTACCTAGCTAGAGTTTTTAATTTTTCATTGATGCTGTCAGCTTTGTTCACCTATGAGCAATCCCTTCCTAGATATGAGTGTGGTCTCCGATCCTTCTTCAGGACACAGCTCTACGTATATAATATACTCTTCTCAAAAACTATAAATCTATTTTCATTGATGCAATTTCAAGGTTTAAATGAGAATCCACAACAGCATTTCATAGAGAGCATTGCGAACGAATCGAATTCTTAGTCATCATACCAGGTGGGCATGTACAATCAAGATTACAAAGAAATGAGTGTATCCTTCCATGCAAGTGTTAATGTAAATTTTAGTATTATAATAAAAATTTGAAAAATTTAAACTATTTTTTTATAATCATTCCTTTTAAATAGTGATTTTTAATTGTTTAAATGCCTTTTGCATCGTTACTTTAGCTAGAATAAATGTCTTTTGTGTGCCAATTTTAGATAAAATAAGTGCCTGAACTTCCAGGCTCTAATCATGTGATTTGAGCTCTATCCATACAATAAAGTCATTGAAAAATTTGGAGCTGTTTTGAAAGTAATAAACATAAAATAATAGAAAGATCTGATATTAAAAAATAGATAACAATGGTTTCAATAATAAAAATTTGAAGGTACGTACATATTTTGCTATTATTATTATTATTATTATTATTATTATTATTATTATTATTATTATTATTATTATTATTGTTGTTGTCGGTTCCAAGTTAACTGCTGCAGATAATTCTGTGGTAAAACTACTAAGGTAAGAATTATTTAAAACATATTTCAATAAAAATTATGAAAACTCTTTAGAACAATTTTCAAATCAAAATCAGAACAAAAACTTGATGTTATCAAAAGTTGAAATACTTCAATATTTTATCAATTTCATAAACTAATAATATTTTAATTTTTAGTTAACAGGTATAAAGAAAGTTTTAATAATAGTGATTTATGTACTGATGAGTGAAAGGTTAGTGATCCTGGTTAGCAGTGCTGGCACTAGACATGAATAGACAAGGTGATTGCCTGTGACCCTGCCAGTCAAGGGGCCCAATGATGGAAGTGATGAGAAAAAATTAGTTAAAAATTGAAAAAGAAATTGGGACTAAAGAAAAACATTATCGTAATTTTATAAGTTGCAGTACATTAGTCTAGTGACTCATAAAATTTTCAATTAATTTTTCACCATAAATAGTTAGTTATAGTAGATGATTATTTAATTATAATAATTAGAAGGTAGGACTCTAGTTATTTAAAAACAAATTTTTGTAGAGTTATACATATTATACAGATATTGGCCATGTAATTTCATTTTCGTAATAACTCATTAAGCTACCTTTCATATTTTGAATTTTTTTTGGGGGGAGGGGTGCATTTTAGCATTATCCTGGGTCCAAAATTGTCTAGCCTGGTTGATTGACTGAAATAGGATTTTTGGTATGTATTAATGTTTAATATAAATTTTGCAAACAATTTTAATAGGGGTGGAGAGAAGAGCAATACCAAAGGTACTTAATAATTAACGATGAGATATTAAAATGTCAAAAATAAAAAATGAGAAATGAAGTGTCATTAAAGTATGTTGTGTAAACTAAACTGTGTATAGTTTATGTTTAATTGCTACAACAATTAGTTTTGTAATATGACAAAAAGTGGTTAGCAACAAACTTCTTCCCCCAATAATACAAACCTGGCCCTGACCCATATCAAAATAGAAATATTTTTTTACAAAAAAGAAAATTGGAATGTAGTTAGAAATGTTATTATGTCTTGAAAAATATCATTTCAAATACTCTTATTTGACTCCATAAATATTTCATACATAAATTCTTTCAATACACCTTCTTCATATAATTTTCTTCTACATATATTCTTTCAATAAAATCTTTCAATATATGTGCTTTAATTAACTATGTAAAAATAATGCATCTCTTTAAAAAAAATTTAATAGTTTAACTAAGAAAATACAATTCTGATACAGAGGCTTCTGAATGGGCTAGTGATTGCTGGAATGAGGCAAAATAAAGTTAGGCTATATCCAAAAGCAGGTTTACCTGAATGTTTGAGTACAAAGGATGGGGCGGTGGGAATCTCTGGCACCCCCTACCCCTCTCATCCAAGCCTTACATTGGACACATTTTTTTAAATCTTTGTTTTATTACTAATTCGCAAACATTCGATGATGGAATTTCAATTGAAGAAAAGCGCAAGATAGATGCGGAGAGAAGAGCAACAGCTACATAAGTTGAGTGAAACTGGAGTGTCAGATGATTTAGACGAAATGTCTGGTCTTTGGGGAGAATAATTGCGGACATAACTTTCCCCCACCGACTTCGATCGGGTAAAATCGGGAGTGTGAACAAATTCGATAGTTCACATTCTTTGAATACAAATTTGTCATTATATTCAATTTTGTTCAGGCTTCTTGATACCTAGAGGGAGATAGGCCCGGTATGGGGTATGCAATTTATATAGTTTTCATATTCCATTGCCTGAATGACACAGCATTTCAAATGTTTCGCCATATTTTTTTGTTTGTGCGCAAGCCCCAAAATACAAAATGTTGCATGGAGATTTCTATTGTAGAAGATTGCTGTCAGAGAGTATATAACTGCCCTCTACATCTCTTCACTACTCTTCACTACTGCCCTCTGGTCGCCTGTTTATGAAACTACTCCACAAACATGGCCAATTTTGAATGGTTTGAAAGTAAAGTGTCAGAATTAAGGAGCGATAATGAAAGAGCTCAAGTGTTATCCGAGCTGAAATTGGCAGTAAGTTCTCAGAATGTGTCTCAGCAAAAATATATTGCCCAAAATTTACAATTAGATGCCGTATTCGATTGTTTAAATTCTTCTGAAAGGTAACCTCAAAGATGACTAAGCTTGTTTGTAGAAGTATTTTATTTTTGACAAAATTGTATTCATATTGTGGTTAATATCCAGCGAAGAAATTGATTCAGCATGCCATGTTTTGAGCTTGTTACTTGGATCTCTGGATCCAAGTGTGGTTCTTCGGCAATATCTAGACCACTTGCAAAGAGCTTTGGGCCATCCTACTGCATCAGTAAAGGAAATGTCCATAGCTGAGGTAACAATTAACTTTTGAATTTATTTAATTGTTTATTTTAAATAATATATAAGGATCTTAGAATAAATAGGCTCTGACTACAACTTTTGGGGAAAATGAATTATTAGTATATTATAATAACTGATATAGAGTTTTATCCACTATCTAATTTTTGCATGTTATTCTTAAGAAATTAAGAGATAGTGGGCGGTGTAAAATGATTTTGTATATTTGTAGCTGAAAGTGGGTCTAAAAAGATTCTATCTGCACCTCTCAGCATTGCTGGTAAATGTGTCTACAGAATTGTGAACCTTGACAGTTTGATGGGAAAGGAAGGAGGTGATTGAATAGATGTTAGCTTAAGTGAATTATTCACTGTTTAATACTCCTAAGTAATGAAAATAAATAATATTTGGAGAAATGATGAAAAGCACCCGGAACTACCATCTGAATGTCTAGTGTTGAAGGAATAAGACAGGTGAAACAAATAAAATTTCAACATGGAATATAATTCAGGTTTCCTTGGTCCAAAATGTGTGACCAATGTGATAGACATGAGGTGTATAAAATAAATGTTAAACAGGTTTTAGAACTTTTTATGCTCAACGCAAGCAAGATAAGGAATTAAAAAGACTGGCTGACTGTTGGACAGTACTACTGTTGACTTGCAAAATATGTTTACTCTACCCAAGACAAATATTAAATTTTCTTCTTCAAATATAAAGTGAAACTCTATAAGAAGATTACATCAGTTTCTGCCCAAGAAAGTATATGTATACTTTGAACTGAAATAATTACTAGTTGACCCACAACAATATTGCAGGCGTGGTTAATAAAATTTTGTATGAAGTTGTGATTTTCAGTATCCAATTAGAAATGGTGGTGACAATGTGTGCACTTCAGTCCCCAGCTTCGTTTATCAGATAGCTGCTCACAATAAACAGAAATTGTTCTTTCCAGTTATTCAACTTCAATCTACTTATTTCAAGGATTCCACAACAATTGTAAACATACACACATCGATAAAATTTCATTTTCTCAATTGTCTCAGTTTTGATTCACTTGAAAAATAGACATATTTGATCACAAATTTAAACATTGATAAGAATTAACAATGTTTTTCTCAATTATCAAACTTTTTTTGGCTCTGCACAATCTTCTTCTAAATTATGTATGTATGTATGTATGTATGTATGTACCTGTGGAGTGGAAAAGGAATTCCTGAGAAAAGAAAACTTTTCTGTAATTAAATACTTCTGGAGATAAATATCAGACGAAGTCGGGAAATAACTATGTGAAGTCCGAGTTATCCAGTAAAAATAAATTTTCATTTCTCTAGTTAGTGAATTGCTACACTATTTTGTTTAGTACATTATAAGCAAACCTACATTAAATTATTTCATTTGAAAATGTTTCTTCTTTAATTCAGCCTTCCAGTTTGCTTTCAGCTTCATGGCACCTCTGATATTAAGTTCTGTGTACTTCGTTGTAACTTAAAAATTAAAAGATTCTATCTGCAAATCCAGGATAAAAATTTTATGTTTCAATGTAATATTTATTTACTCCTGAATTCTTCAGATGTAAAGGTTTTAGTAGTAGAAAATAACAGCCAAGATAATATTAAATATTAATTCTAATTTTCACGTTCCATATCATAAGTTTCTCCTGTAAAATGTGCTATTGTATTATTAGAATTTCCTTATTTTAAAATCATTTTTTTAATGTTCTCTGCAGTTACGGCGTGTAGCATGTTCTGGTGATCTTGTTCATCAGCTGTGTCAGAATGATCTAATACTCAATATTGTAACCTGTTTGAGTAATGATGATATTGCTGTGGCCAAAAATGCTTGTACTTTGCTTGTTAAATTGGGAGAATCTTCAACTGGACTCAAAGTGCTTTTTTCAAGAGAGATTTTAGAAGCATTGAGAAAAATCCAGAAACAAAGCGATATCATTCGTTTTCGTGTGTTTGAGGTAAAGTAGTGAAGCTGATAAAAATACTATTTTGGTAATGGTCTTGTCATTGTTTACTTTCGAATTACTTCTGTTAAACTTTGTGCCATATTTTCAATATTTAAAAAAGTTTTCAATGCAAACAAATTTGTGGTATTCTGTAGTGTTTTTGCTGAAGCTTATGCCATCTCATCTGTAATTGTTGAATAATTTGTGTATCATTGGTTACCTCATCACAAGATGGTGGATTTTAACAATTTCTAAACAAAAGTGAAATGTTAGCAAACATTGAAAAAATGAGTAATTGAATGTTTGATGGTCTGTGTAGTATATTTTTGAAGGTTTTCTGTCTTCAATGAAATCACAAAGTGCGGAATAGTTGTGAATCTGCAAAATTATTGCTAAATTGCATTTAATGGTTTCCTTTGTGTTCACTCTTTAACTAGGGATACATTGTCAACAACAACACATTGATGTTTGAAAACATTAAATTTGAGAGAGGCTATGATTATTAATTTATAATTAAGATTTAACTGACTAAACAAAGTAAAATAATAATAATGAACATCATTTGAAAACTGATCCTGAAGGTCTAGTGCTCAGGGTCATCTCAGGGGTTTCAGCTCTCTCAGTTCACTGTATGGAGAAAGTTACGGGAATATGAGGAAGGCTCTAAATCTCTGATGCATATGTTACTTCTTATACTTTTATTTTGTTGAAGTTCTCAAATGGCAAAATATTGAATTTACATTAGTTTTCATACTTTTAATGGGAAAATCTGAAAAGCAGCAAAATAATATTTTTTAATTTCATAGTCTTCCCTTAATAATAATGTTCTCAACCAATGCTGAATGCTAAATCTTAATTTTTATAATGCTATAAAATCCTATTGCCTGTTTTTAAAATTGAAAGGGTTAAACTCTACCATCACTACTCATCATGCTTGTAACCTCAATTCCACTTCCTTAACCAGCTTAGATTTTAAGGTAAAATATCCAGATATCAATCCATTGAACTCTTTTAACTGACACTTTTTTCTCATCTGCTTTTTCTTCCTCCTCTTTATCTTCTTATTTCTCTTCTTTATCTTTTTATTTTTATTCTTATTATTCCTTTTCTGCTCTCTAGAAATAAAGAGGTATTTTTTTCATCCTTATTTTCTTTACCGACATAGCAGGAATACAATATCAATATTACTATACAAATTTCATATATTTTATGTTTCTGTTAGTTATAAGCACTACATCAGAATTTTAAATCATTCATTAGTTCCTGAAAATTCTCAAAACTAGGGAGAGATTTAATGAGGGATTATATGTATTGTTCCAGTAATGTATGTAAATATATATGTAATTTTTTTTCAGATATTCCCTTAAGGACCTTTATGTTAAAATACAACAAGTTTTTTTTTTTTTTTTTTTTTCCCAACTGTAATGAATTTTTTTACTGATCATTTTTTCAGTAATGTAATTTCTTATTGTTTGCATTTAAAAAGATGTATTTTTATGATTATTGTTTTAATAATAGGCCACTAGTAGCATTTCTTGTGTAAATAGATGGCAGTGCTTATAGCTGAGCACTCTCCAGAAGGCCAGCAAGCTTGTGTTAGCAGTGGGTTACTACCTGCCTTAGTAGAAGAGCTACAAACAGAAGATGTTTTATTGCAACTAAATGCTCTGGAGTTGCTGACAAAATTGGCTTTGAAACCACATGGTTTAGAATGGTTACAACATCGTGGAATTTTGCGACAATTGGCAGAAAAAGTTAATTCTATTGAAGAAGAACCTTTGGGATCCTTATTGCTTCCAGGTATTTACTGATAGCAAAGTAAATGTAGATACTACTGAGCTTATCTTGAAGTACCTATTAATTTATCAATTTAATGTAATATATTCTTCTTATATTTGTGTTTAAGACATAAAAGTAGATACAATCATCTTTTGCAATTATCAACTAAACACTCAGGTCTCTTGTGGCAGAATTTCCCACAGCAAATTTTATAATAGTTTCCTTCAGAGATTCAGGATATCATTCTCTGGCTTTGAATTGAGTTGTCCCTTTTGGCTGAATAGAACTCTTCTCTCTATATGCAATGGTTTCTAGCATTCAGCATTCTTCTTTCTCATATACCCACTTTGCCATGGATATGTTTACACTATTCTGCTTGTGAGCTCCAATCCAATGTTATATTCCTTCATTGCAGCACTTTTGGAATATGCAAAGTTAAGAATAATCTGAGTAGAGGAAGAAAAAGAAAATTTTGCAGTTGATAATTTTCTAAAACTAATAATATTCAATTTATAAATACTAGTTGAAACCTGTGTGATTAAATCACCCAGGGAGTTCGAAGCCAGATCCGTCCACTTGTCTGGATATTTATTTACTTTAATCATCTACTCAGACAAGGAAATGCATGCATTCTGTCTATAGTGTAGCCTCTCCCTGCTCTGGCCTGGTGTGACCTGTGACCTATTCTGCCTTGTGCTGCCTTGGCCTGATGAAACCCACGTTGCTCCTTAACACCATCCTCACCCTGTGCTGTTTTGGCTGTCACCAATACTACCCACCTTACCACCTAGTTATGTGTGATGTTGATGTTAAAAAAAAATTCGTGGTATTAATGATTCTATATCATTTACAAAAATGTAAACACACACTGTCATCAGGGACTTCCAGCTTTCAAAGGAAACCTTATTTGCTGCGATTGACTGTAGATCATCTAGAAAAAGGATATTTACTTAACATGTTCTTGAAATAATGTGAATAATGGTTAATTACAAGTATAATCTACATTTTGTTGTATTTAATGTTTGTTCTGCCATTGATTTTTATTTTTAAGAATACAAATGCCCTATTGTTACAAGATTGTGTTTGTTAACATGTCAATGCTGGCTGAATCTACAGAAAATATCACTCCATTTTTGTCTTAAAAGGTAGTGATTTTGTAAAATGTTGCTTTGTTTTCTCCAAAATCAAGCATCCAGTTTTTATAACACTTTTAGAAGTGTTTGTTGATGTGTTGACATTTAGAAGTTGAACAGTAACGAGATATAATACAGGCCACGATGTAGAAAATCATGATCTTTTGTCACTGCTACTGAAGCTAATTCTTGTCCCGTTCTCCAACAGTTTTGAATCAGAATGTAAAACTTCAACTTAAATTTCTAACATATATTTGTTTCTTGTTTTAAAGTATTGTAATGTTTTTTTAGTTAGATAAATTTATATCTTTCTTTTGAGAGAACAAATGATGCACACATGCAATGCCTAGTGTTTTTTGTTGTAATGTCACATTTTTAATTAACAATTTTTTTAAAATCTTTATCATTTGTCATATAAAATTCTGATTTTAATATTACTTGTCTTCTATGAACATTTTTTAGGTAAAGATAATGAAAACACCAGGTTATTAAAATTAGCAGCCAAAGATGATAGTTAGGTATTTTGGCATTCATTTTCCCAGAATCAACTAAAAGTCTGTTGGTTCATTTTATTTACAATATGCCAAAACAGTTTGCGTGTTAGTGATGTCAATAAAGTGTCAGAAATGTTCTGTTTCTCTTTTGAAAAATTAAGTGGAATAATACATTTGTTTATGAACTCACAACTGCCAAACGATCTTTTCATTTAAAATAGCCACTCACAATATTTTTGTGCATTATTCCCTGTGAAAAACTGCTGGACCAACCCTCTTGCCTTTCTATTCCTTCTATTTTCTGTTCCTCCTTCAGAGCAGCAGTTTTTTAAGGCAATAAATATTCAGTGGATTCGACTTTATCAATGGTGAATATGTGACTACGAGAAAATTGTGATAACTTCTCTTGTCAAAGAAAGTATTCCTGGGTGAAGTTGAGAGCAGGACAATGAATCTTGTCTAATATAAAAGTACCATACATACCGCTTATTGTCGTATATATATATATATATATATATATTGTCCTTTATATATTGAACAGAAAGAGAGATTCCAGTTTTCATGCAGTATTATTAATCATGAAAGAGCACCCTGCAAGTATATCTTGATTATTATGATCTGTGACTAGTTGTAACTGGTGGTTATTTATCTCAAGTTGGTGTTGATTGCTCTTGAAAACTTTCATCATAGCAAATTTGTCTCTACTCACTGTAATGTCAATTCCTCAACTCATTGCTGTCTTTGTGGGAAATCACTTTGTAGGTTGGGTATATGACCTTGACGTTGGTGGTAGAGCTTGATTGCTCCCATGACCCTGAGAGCTACGCGCGCGATAGCATAGCTACTGGTAGGGCCTCCCTTGCCGGACAGGTCGAAGGAGAGGGGTCAGACAAAGAAGTATTCCAGAAGAGGACTTTTGGAGGTAACTTCAGGAGGAGACTATGCATAGAAAACCATCAGCTTAGGGAAAATTATGAAGAGGCAATGTAACTTTGGAGAGGTGGAGAAGAGTAGGCAAGGTCTTTTAGGCAGCGGGAAATCAACTCGCCTAGATGAGACAATCTTGATGAAAATTCCAGACTCTTTCCTGCTTGGAGTTGGACTGGTAACCCTCCTATGTTAAAAATAATTACACTATCTCTTGTAAGCCTAAAAGAAAATGGTCAGACCACTCTTAAGATGAATTTGGCAAGATAAAGGTTAAGAAATATGGAATACAGGATGTATTAAAGATTGCTGCTTGGAATGTGAGGGGTCGGTCCAGAAAATAACTAGAGTTAGATAGGGAATTTAATGAGAAAGGGATAAATAAAGTCATTCTTTTAGAAACAAAAGAGAAACTTAAAGGAATAAACAATCTGGAAAATTATATAATATACAGTGGAGTAGAACAAAAGAGAAGAGCAGTAAGTGAAGTTGCAATTATTTTAGATAAAAAATTGAAAATTATATTTTTGTTAATGATAGAATATTGATAGTATGATTAAAAATAGAAAAGGAGTACTATCTTACTATATTTGATGTATATGCTCCTGAAGAAGGCAAGACAGAACTAACTGAAGAATTCTATGAAGTTCAACAACATTACCATAAAAATGACCTGATAATATTGACAAGTGACTTTAATGCCAGAGTAGGTAACATACCTTTCCCTCAAATAGTTGGATATTTTGGAGAGAATCACTTGAATAGAAATGGTCGTGAGCTTAGAGAATTTGCAACCTTCAACAGCTTAAAGATAACTAATACATTCTTTCTTAAGAAAGATATTCATAAGTATACATGGGCAGCAAGAGTGTGTGTATCAATAATGTGTGTATTTTTGATATTAATTTAAAAGCTGTGAACTCCGACACCGTGTGACCGCTCTCCCTGAAAGTTGGTACATCTGTTTGTTTGTTTTTTTACTGATGTTTATGTGCTGTTGATTTTTCTGTAACTAATAATCGACGCTGCAGAACAAAATTGCTCTTCTATTTAATTCAATTTTCGTTCAAACTGCGATCCACACGAGCTTCATTGTTGCGTTCCCGTGAAATGCAAGGCGCGGCCCATGAAAACCGCACGGGTGCGCGCGACAGAGTGAGACGGGGAGATGCAAAGTGATGGAGACAGACAGAGAGAGAGAGAGAGAGTGAGAGTAGGTGCCCTTAAGTAAGAGTGAGAGAGAGAGAGAGAGGGAGAGAGAAAGAGCGAAACAAGGAGATGGAGAGGGACAGATACAGAGAAAGAGACCGAGAGATACAGAGATAGAGGTGGGCCGAGGCAGACAGAGAAGAAACAAACAGGCAGAGAAAGAGAGAGAGGGACAACTTTCGACGTGGATTAACTCAGCAATAGTGAATAGATGAACTTAATTCAATTTTTGGCGATGAAGCTCCATCAAGGACAAGTGTTTATCGATGGATGGTGAATTCAATCGTGGTCGTAGTTCACTCCAAGACGAATTGCGCGAAGGTCGTCCAAAATCAATTGTTCCGAAAACCATTGATGCTGTGCTTAAACTGATATTGCAAGATCGTCATGTGACCTATCGTGAGATTGAGACAACCTTAGGCATTAGTGGGTCCAGCCATACATTCAAACTTGCAGAACATTGACTGCAAAACCATTTTGGTTGCGTTGAAATCCCACACCAATTTGTCATCGCTCAAAAAAGGCTCGTGTCGCCTGGTCCGAAAGAATGCTCAAAATACGATCGCAGTGCTTCGAACACATCTATGACATCGTGACAGTTATAAATCCGTGATTTACGCGTATGAAGCCCGAACGTAAACGGCAAGTCCACTGTAATGGGTGTTTCAAGAATGAGCAAATCAAACAAAAGTTGTTCGCAGCACCGAAGCACTTCAACCATAGATGTCGCTTTTCTTTTTTTTTTCGGAAAAAAACGGACATGTCGCAACTGTACCAAGACTAAACAACGCAGCACAGTCAATCTGATGTAGCAAACGATTGTTGCCAGCTGTCTTCCAAGAAATCAGAAAACCAACCGCCGAAGACGGATCACTTCACCACGAAAATGAAGAGCTCTCACACATCGGCTCAACAATCTGCATTTTTGAGGCACGCACCAAAAACATTCGATTTGATGGTCCATATCCGCCGTGTAGTCCTGTTTGCAGCGAATGACTTCTTTTTATTCCGTACGTAAAAAACAACCTGGAAGAGGTCCAACGTTTTTCGATCACCCTAAAGAAGCGGTTGCTGCATTCAGAATGCGCATGTTTGGAAGATGCCTCAAATCAGAGTGGCAAAAGTGCTTCGCGACAATTGGTTCCAATGCATGCAAAAGTGTATAGAATCTCATGTGGAATATTTGAAAAAACAATAAAGTGATTTTCGATTATTAATATTTGTTTTTGTTCTCTAATCCTGAAATATAAAAGGCAAC